GCGGTGGGCCGCCGGGGGGGCAGGAGCGTCGCCGGGGGGTCACCTGGGGGTCATGGGAGGTCACCTGGGGGTCAGCAGGGTCACCTGGGGGTCACCTGGGGGTCACATGGGGGTCATTTGGGGTCACCTGGGGGTCAGTGGGGTCATGGGAGGTCACCTGGGGGTCACATGGGGGTCATTTGGGGTCACCTGGGGGTCATTTGGGGTCACCTGGGGGTCATTGGGACTCTGTGGTGGGTCATGGGGTGACCTGGGGTGTCCCCTGGGCTGTGGGGACACGAGAGGACACGGGGATGGGGACACGGTGATGGCATCAGGATGGGGACAGGGGACGGGGACACAGGGACGGTGACACAGGTGACACAGGTGACACAGGTGACACAGGTGACACAGGGATGGTGACACAGGGATGAGGACAGGGACGGTGACACAGGCACAGGAACAATGACACAGGTGACACAAGAACAGTGACACAGGTGACACAGGTGATGGTGACACAGGGACGAGGACAGGGACAGTGACACAGGTGACACAGGAACAGTGACACAGGGACAGTGACACAGGTTGACACGAGAACAATGACTCAGGTGACACAGGCACAGTGACACAAGAACAATGACACAAGGACAGTGACACAGGGATGAGGACAAGGGATGGTGACACAGGTGACAGGTTGTTGTAGTGACAAGGGTGACACAAGAACAATGACACAGGTGACACAGGTGACGGGATGGTGACACAGGGATGATGACACAGGTGACACAAGTGACACAAGAACACTGACACAGGTGACACAGGTGACACAAGAACAGTGACACAGGTGACACAGGTGACACAGGTGATGGTGACACAGGGATGAGGACAGGGACAGTGACACAGGTGACATAAGAACAATGACACAAGGACGGTGACCCAGGGATGAGGACAAGGGATGGTGACACAGGTGACACAGGTGACGGGATGGTGACACAGGTGACACAGGTGACACAAGAACAGTGACACAGGTGACGGGATGGTGACACAGGGATGAGGACAGGGACAGTGACACAGGTGACAGGTTGTCGTAGTGACACGGGTGACACAAGAACAACGACACAGGTGACACAGGCACAGGAACAATGACACAGGGATGGTGACACAGCGCCAATGACACGACACAGGTGACACCCCCCCTCCCCCACTCACCGTACTTCACCTGCACCACGTCCCCCACCACCAGCTCGGCCACGGGCACCTGTGCCAGGTGTCCCCCGCGCAGGACGGCCACGCGCTGCTCGCGCTCCAGGCGGCTCTGCAGCCCCCGGAACTGCCGCTCCTTGCTCCAGTCGTTGGACGCCGTCACCAGCACCACGCACGCCACCGACAGCAGGATGGCAGCGCCCTCGATCCATCCGGCCTCGGCCTCACCGGGGTCTTCAGAGCCCCCCGAGAGCTGCCCGCACGCTGGGGACATGGGGGACATCAGTGGGGACATGGGGGACACCCCTGGGGACATGGGGGACACCCCTGGGGACACACGCCACCGACAGCAGGATGGCAGCGCCCTCGATCCATCCGGCCTCGGCCTCACCGGGGTCCTCGGAGCCCCCCGAGAGCTGCCCGCACGCTGGGGACATGGGGGACATCAGTGGGGACATGGGGGACATGGGGGACACCCCTGGGGACACCCCTGGGGACATGGGGGGACATGGGGGACATCAGTGGGGACATGGGGGGACACTCCTGGGGACACCGGGGGACATGGGGGACATCAGTGGGGACATGGGGGGACACCCCTGGGGACACCCCTGGGGACATGGGGGACATCAGTGGGGACACAGGGGACACCCCTGGGGACATGGGGGGACACGGGGGACATCAGTGGGGACACGGGGGACACCCCTGGGGACATGGGGGGACACGGGGGACACCGGCTGGGGACACGGTGACACACATGGGGACGGTGTGGGGACAGAGGTGACACATGTGGGGACACAGGGGACAGGGATTTGGGGACAGGGACAGAGCTGGGGACAGGAACACGGGGATGGGGACAGGAGACACAGGGATGGGGACAGGGGACAGAGCTGGGGACAGGGACACGGTGCCAGGCCCGTGGGGACAGAGGTGTCACCTTCATCGGCGGCGCCGGGGGGGGCGTAGAAGGACAGCCCGAGGGACACGAGCGCGGCCACCTCGAGGATGACGAGGGTGACGTCCTGCAGGGCCTCCCACACCAGCGCCGCGAAGCTCTTGGGGCGCCGCGGGGGGATCCAGTTCCGGCCGAACACCCGGCGGCGCCGCTCCAGCTCCGGGGGACCCTCGGACAGCCCTGGGGACACGGGTGTCACCCCTGGGGACGCCCTGGGGACACCCCTGTCACCCCATGGATACCCTGGGGACACCCGGACAGCCCTGGGGACACCCCGGGGACACTGGGACAGCCTGGGGACACGGGTGTCACCCCATGGACACCCTGGGGACACCCCTGTCACCCCCAC